TGTGAACGACATCCCCCATCCTAAGTTGGGGTTATAGATTGGTTGGATCATGCATACACATATGATATCTACTATTAGTATAGATTTACTTAAACATGTTTTGACTTCACTTTGATCATGCATCCTCATATTGTTATTCATAATGCCTATGAAACTATTTCTTGTATTTCGATTGTGTCCTTGTCTATTGTTGTGTTGCACCCCGCATACTTAGTGCATTCCAAGTACTAACGCATATTTTGCCTACATGATGTCACCATGTAGGGACCGGAGCTACTCTTGATCCTTCTCTCCATTCACGTGGTTAGTACGGTGCTTATCCAAGTTTGTTGGTGAGTCCTCAATGATTCGAGGGCTATGTTATGTTTCCTACTCCTATGTTTTGAGACTTTAGCTTGCAATTGTATTTTGACTATGAGGGGAGCCGGTAGTATGTCATGGCCCCCGTCCTATCTATGTATGTAGAGGTGTGCGTTGGACAAGAATTTTGTAAATGAGCTTGACTCTTGTTCTATGATGTCATTTTGAAATGGTTTGCCCTTAGTCCCTATTTCCCGTTAATTAATGTTGAATGTGCTTCCGCGACCGATGAAGTGTGATGACAAGTTTGAGAGGCTTGTTTGGGGTTCCTTCGGGTTCCTCATTCGCCATGTCACGTCTAGTCCCTAGGCTTGGGTCGTGACAGAAAAACTACCTAATTCGATGTACTTTCGTAACTCCTTTACCATGTATACTTTTAAATAATTATATATCTTACTATTAATTAAGACTTTTCTATCATATATTGAGTAAGATGCATTTAGATAGATATATTCCTAACTAATAGCTTAAATTAGTTATCTGCACTATGAAACCATCTCAAATTAACAATTTCATGTCAATCAACTCCATCTCTCTCATCAACCTCCCACCCCACCAGGGGAGGACCCACCCTTTGGGTAAGGGGTGTCAAGCGACACTCCTTCGTCGGAAAATTACATTGCATATAAAGGTTAAATTTTGGTTTAATAAATATATATACAAGTATTTATACCTCTTGACGCAAGTTAAAGATTTAGTTTAGTGGTTAAGGTGTTGTGAGAATTCCTTGAGGTCGTGTGTTCTAGTTTTATTTTACTACGACCATTGACACCCCTTAATGACAATCCTGGGTTCGCTAGTGTACGTGACAGATTTCAATTTGTTTTGTCTTCTAATTTTCAAAATTTAAGGTAAAACTTCATTGAGTTAATTAGAATTTTCATGATTTACTTTCATGGCTAGTGATTCTCCAAATAAGGTGAAGCAAACACCGTTGTGGTTAGATGTCGGACCAACCAGGAATGTATTCGAAATGTTTCAATATTAGGTTGTTTACCAATTTCCTACTTCGAGGTTTATTGTTGCTCGAAAAAAAGTAATTGTTCATGAAAATAATAAGCGGAGATTTATGCATGTATCTGACACATTATTGAGTTAAGATTATATGTATCTAGTTTTTATCAGTGTACATGTACTAATAAAATATACGCATGTATTTGACACATTATTGAGTTAAGATTATATGCATTTAATTTTTATCAGTATTTATGATTAAGTGTATATGTATCTGCTAAAATATACGCATGTATCTGATTAAGTGTATATGTATCTAATAAAGTATACACGTGTATCTGAATTAAGAAGTCTAAATTTTGTTGAATTGCCCCCCAAAAAGAAGGATTTTGATTGTTTTTACTATTTTAGGAGTTTTGATGTCATATCCTCTAAGGTTGTTGCAAGCATGATTTTCTCCTTAATTAATGACTTTTAGTTATATCCCTTAATTACACACCGTTCTTAATTAATGACTTTCAGTTATATCCCTTAATTAGACCGCTAGTTGATATATATTTGTCTTACATGTATCTGGAAGAGACAAACACATATAACTGAGATCCAAAGTATGGTAAGAAGCGAAATATTGCAAACCAACGTGAATCTAATTAGTAATTAACTCCTAAAATAGTGAAATTTGTGTAAGTTACCCTTAAAATATTTGTGCTATGATTTTATGATAATGTATTATCTAGTTCATTATAAAAATAATAATATTGTATCAAACTTATTTGTACATAAGTAAGCCCATGCAGAGAATTATCCCGATGAATAAAAAGTTTCACACAACATATAGGAGTTAACACTTTCGAGAAGTACATAGAATATTAGAGAATCCAATACAACACGCAAAACACGACGATCATAATAAATTTAGCAAACACAGACGAGGAAGGGTGTAGAATCGATGAAATGCTTGGATTATGATTTGTAATAATGATAATAAACATTATCAATAAAAGTTTGACATAATTTGAAATTAGCAAATACTCCATATTTGTTTGGTATGATTGAATATTCTTAAAATAGTCATATTCATGTTTGTTTTTTATATAAAAAAAAAGCAAAACATGTTTTAGAAAACTTTTAGTCAAACACAATTTTATTCAAATCAAAACATCATCCAAATCACAAAAATAAATAAATATTGAAAATGTATAGGATATGGTAGTTAAGAATGAACCAAAATGCCTCCCCATTAATGGAAATGTAAGACAAACATGAGTTTAGCAAATGACAGACTTTTCCCTCCTTTATTGATTAGATAGATAGACACACACCTCCTTTAACTTCACCTCCAATTGCTTCTAGGATATCTCTTTGACACTACTTTTTGTCAACCTTATCGTCCTACCAATAAATCCTTTCCTTTTTATACACATAAATTTCCCCTATTAGGTAGGTATGGTCTATCTCAAATTTGATGGGGGTATATCAATATGATGAATTTAACTCCACACTTATCCTATACTTGTTAAACTAATTTCTTATATACATTAGAAATATACAATCAAAATGTATGTAACATCCAATATAATACTAGTGTAATCACTCTTTTTTTTTTACATAATACATAAATGTACCTTATAACTTGACTTCATTTTAGATTTATGCCTTTTAGCTTTGGGTATACACAAGTAGACACTTAAACTTGTATATGGTTGAATAAGTAGACACATGAGTCCTATGTGACATAATACAAGTAGGACACCACGGTCCTACGTGTACACAAATTGCCACATAGAATGCCACGTAAGACATGCGTTTCATTGTTCAGTTTTATAGAAGTTTAAGTGTCTACTTATACAAGCTCGTTGAAGACATGAATATAAAATGAGTGAAAGTTAAAATACATATTCATGTATTCTGCCTCTTTTTTTGTTTTATAAAACAATATATTGCAATTGTTCCCTACAAATAATATCATATTAAGATTAAATGAATAGAGTTGGAGAATAAGTTACTCGTGGAAACGACAAGCATTAGTAATAAAGTAAACAAAAAAAGGACAAGATGAAAAGATTGCGGAGTGAATATCTTCGACTAGAATATATACACTCCCATATTTATTTTTATTTATTTACTATTGTTTTTATTTTTACTTGTCACTATTAATATGTAAGATATTTTATTTTTGATATTTTATTTTTAACATTAATTATTTATTGTTTAAATCATTTTCTAAAACCTTATACAATAACAACATACCCAGTGAAATTTGAAGAGAGTAGAATATACACAGACGTTATAAATTATAACCACTTTCTTATGGAGGTAGATATGTTGTTTTCGAAAGACCCTAGGCTCAAATACAATAATTTCAGATACAAAGAAGAAATATAGCCAATCACAAGCAACAACAACACCGTACTAGGATAGATTTTTGAAAACAACACTCCATCTGTCCCTATTTACTTATTCATTTTTGACTTGATACACCTATTAAAAAAAAGACATAGTGAGTTTACTATTTTACTCCTATTAATTGATAGAATTCCAAAATCAATTTATTTATTAAAGAGGTTCTATTTTTTTCAAAAACATTAACTCTTTTAATAAATTGAAGGTATTGTAGGTAAAAGATACTCCCTCCGTCCCATTTTATGTGAGGTAGTTTGATTCGGCACATAGTTTAAGAAAGAAAAACTTTTAAAACTTGTGGTCCAAAATGAATGATATAAATTTGTATGGCTGTAAATCATTTCATTAAGGGTAAAATAAACATTTTATAGTTAAATTGTTATTTAATATAAAAATGTGTCATTTTTTTTGAGACTGACTAAAAAGAAAAGTAAGTCACATATATTGAGACAGCAGGAGTATTATCTTTTCTTGATTTGTCAAAAATGACAAGTAAAAAGGGATCGAGAGAGTAATGAATAATATTGAATATCAAAAACAAAAACTACACTACCAATCACTCTAGGTAAGATAACCATACATTACCCACTAACCTTCTACCCTAATACCTATCATGCATATTTAAAGTCATATCCCCGATAATCTAAAATTGTCTCATATCTTGTTTTATTATCTCTCTAACACTTTTTGATTTACCTTTGTCTCTCCTGTTACCCTCCGTAACCAACCTCTCACACTTCACATCTCCTCTTTACATGTCCAAAGCATTCTCACTTCTCCATCTTATCCACTATGAAGGCTACTTCTACCTTATTTTCGAATTTTATCATTCCTAATATGTCCACACATCTACTTCAACATTCTATCTTTACAAATATACATGCATCTGCTGAACAAATAAAAATGAACGGAATGAGTCATTGTTACCGAGACGCGTTATTACCACGATGTTTCTCCTGAGAATAGAAGATGATTTTGGCGGTCATATCGAAGAATAAAGAATTGGTCAGAATCAATTTACAGAGACAAACAAAGCACACTATAATCTTCACAAAATAGTAACCATTTTTCTAAAAAAAGGTTTCCTTACCCAAAGGGTATCTTCAGTTGCCATTTTCTTACACTTCTCAGCTAGAAATCAGCTGCAAAAATAGTCTTTGTGTATACCACTTTTTCTTTTGTTCTTGTCAAATTTGGCATTAGATCGATGTTATCTTGAGGGTTTGACCAAAATTCATTGCTGAATCTGAAGCTGGGTATCGTATTTTCAGTGGGTTTGTTCAAAATTGAATCTTGGAATGGAAGACCCAACTGTTTTAGCTAAAGTTGCAACACCCCCAACTGAGGAATTGCTGAAGAAGATCCAAGAATTGGAGGCAGGTCATGCTCAGTTGAAGCAGGAGATGTCTAAGCTTATGGTTTCAAATGATAGTACATCACAAAGGCAAAGGTCTCATTCTATATCCCCACAACGCCCACCTCGGCTTAGGGGTTCTAATGACCCATTAGGGAAAAAGGTCTCTACTTCCTTCCGACATTCATCACCCTTGCAAAGAGAGAGCAGTAGTAAAACTGAGCGTTGTAGCAGCAGCAGCGGGGGCGTCAAGTTTACTGATAAACAGTATTTGAGCATATTGCAATCAATGGGCCAAGCTGTGCATATATTTGATCTCAATTATCGATTAATTTACTGGTAAGTAGTTATAATGGACTTGCTATTTCTGAAAAAATGTCTCCTCAGTTCGGTTTTTCTTAGTTTTACTCTGTATTTAAGTTAATAGTGTTATATTACCAGTATAGTTTAATGTTATATCAGATACTTTTTCCCATCTATGAGCAGTATTTTTGTTGCTTGCCCTTCCTTGTTTTGGTAGGACTTGGGAGAGAAAAGAAGGAAACACCCTTAATAGGCATTGGTTTTGTCTTGGATAGGGTTCACAACCATGAGCTCTCCAATTCCAATTTTGACGTTTTTTCCAATCTGTCCGAGTTTGGTGGACAGAGTTACCTGGTATCGGTGATGGTGGGAGGTAGTAGGTACCCAAGGAGCATGCAATCTGGCCTGGACACCTCTGTTAGCAATATTTTTTTTTGTCTTGGATAGGTGTTAAGCATGTATATTGTTTACTTTATTTTTTCCAAACTGAATCTTTATATTGTAGCTGCTAACTATTTGGGGATTGACGCTCAGTTGTATTTACATGTTTACATTAAGTCCGTGTTTGCTTATGATCTTTTTAGTTTCTTAAAGGATTCGTATGTTAATAGAAAACGTAGTGTAACCTCTAGATTAAAGAACATAGAATAGTCTTTAACAACAACACATAATATCTCGGCACTCCCCTGAACATGGCACATTTTATCCGTGTACACCTAAACTATTGTTAGTCCCCCACACACACGCACACACATACATGGCTATATGGTAGCTTTCATCGCCTTGATGTTGACATGACCAAGAGAGTGGATACATTTTCTCTTGGGCTCGTGAGGTTGATGAAAAATCGGCAAATCAATTTTCAAGTGGAGTTTTTTTCAACCATTAATTTCCACCTAGTTATATAAAATGGTTTATTTGTTTCACATGTGGATTTCTTCTGAATGTACTACATATATTTTACCTCAACTTTGTATTTTTCTGATTTATCTTTAGATGCTATGACTTTTTATTCCAATTGTATTTTTTTTTCCTGGCGAATTCTCTGTATTTTTTACTGTGTATTTCTTTTTATTTCATCGTTATATGCAATGATGATCATGTTGCGATTCTGTAGTCTTCATTTTCAGGCTAAATATTTAGAAAAAAGAACTTCAAAAAATGTCCACGTGGCAGCAAATATATTACAACTCCTTGGACTGAGGTCGTCCAATGGGTGAAAGTTACCAAATAGCCCCAAGTATAGGTGGTAATTAGGATCAAAGATAGTTTAGGTGTACACCGAATAAAAGGTGTTGGTTATGGGGGGTCCCAAAAGTATTTTGCCTAAAAACAAACTATTGAGTATAGGAATGAGACCAGTCCTAATGGATCATAATAGAAATTGAGGATTCATATAGATGATCTTAACTAGTAGATGCCTGGTTGTTATTATTGTTGAATCTTAATAATGTAGGACTAAACCATAAATTATTGGCTTGCAACTGTTGTGCAGGAATCGAAGTGCTGAGCAATTATATGGTTATTCAGCTGCCGAAGCTATTGGGCAGGATCTTCTTGAGCTGATAACAGATCCTAAGGATCATGCTGTGGCTAAAATCATTATACACAGAGTGAAAATGGGTGAGAATTGGACTGGACAATTTCCTGTAAAGAATAAGCAGGGGGACAGGTTTTTAGTGGTAGCAACAGATACCCCACTTTATGATGATGATGGTACATTTGTTGGTATTATTTGCGTGTCAACTGATGCGAGGCCTTTTCATGAATCATCTGCTGATGTGAAGCATACAGAAGCTGATAAAAGTTCTGGCAGGCCTAGAAGCATTGCTAATGCAACCCTTGGACTTGATCCACAGCAACCTCTGCAAGCTGCCATTGCCTCCAAAATTTCGAATTTGGTTAGTGTAAAGTTGTTTGACATGCTTTCTTTTTCTTTCTTTTCACTTTATTTTCGCTTATTTGTATGAGGTGTCTATGTGCTGATGTGATGAAAACCTCAAATAGGCTACAAAGATGAGCAACAAGGTTAAGTCAAAAATGAAAACTGGAGAGGGAAGCATCCTTCGGGAAGGTGGAAGTGGAGATAGTCACCATTCTGATCATGCCTTTTCTGACGCTGCTCTATTGGATCAAAGGGAAGATGCAAATTCAAGTGGAGCAAGTACACCCAGGGGAGATGTTCACTTTTCTCCATTTGGGGTATTTACTAATGTTGCAAAAGAGGAGCACACTCCAGAAAAATCCTCAAGAGATTCTGGAGATGAGAGTGAGGGAAAACCTGGGATTTCTAAGATTATAACCTCAAAGGCAGAGGCGTGGATGGTTAAGAAGAATTTATCATGGCCATGGAAAGGCAATGAGCGAGAAGTATCAGAGGCAAAGGCTACACGATTTGTTTGGCCCTGGCTAAACAATGACCAAGATAATGAGTGGAATCATTTCAAGAGTTCTAATGCAGTATCAACACCAGATGATCAGATTATGGAAAGTAACCGTACAGCTACCAATGAGGCTTGGGGATCCTGGTCATCATCATTTAATGTTAATAGCACAAGCAGTGCTAGTAGTACAGATAGCACTACTAGTACTGCTGTTAATAAAGTGGATGCTGATACTGACTGCTTGGATTATGAAATTTTGTGGGAGGATATGACAATCGGAGAACAAATTGGGCAAGGTATGTCAATTCTTGTTTACCGGTAAAATTCTCAAAGATAAATCATATCAGGTTAGTGGACCCTTTTCTTTTTCTAAGGAATTATCAAGCATGTATGATGCTATCACTTACTGTTTTACCACAGTTATAGATGTTCAGTGAAACAATAAGAAGTTCGGACAAAACTTAGCAACACTTCTATGCACATTTTCATATTTTTGAAGCTTATAAACCATTCCCCTATGAGGATCACATTTTTGCGTTACAGCTATCAGATTTATGTCTTTTATGGTTTAACTAGAGTTTCTCATGTTTTCTGTTCCATCGTTCTCACTTTTCCTTCGTTTATGTTTCAATAGGTTCTTGTGGAACTGTTTATCATGGGCTGTGGTTTGGATCAGTATGTTCTCTGACTCTTTTATGACTTTCCTTTCTAGAGAATGTCCTAAGAATTTCTGTTTAAGTGTTTCCAAACATATACTGTGGCATGATGAAATATCTTGTTCTCAGATATCACTTGTATAAGTTATCAAGTTGATGGGAGTTTACACTTATTTGAAAGAAGGGCTAAATTCTTTCTGCCTTTTCTCATTATATGCTCCATTCAATTAATGTTTAAAACTTTGAAGTGCTTTAAGCCAGTATTTGAATAGTGTTTGACATGCCATTTGTCACGTTCTATGAATGTCATTTGAATTCTTGATTATTGGTTACTTTTAAGAAGTGGAACGACTGCTGGTTTACTTTTGTAAAGTGATGTCTTTTGCAGGATGTTGCGGTTAAAGTATTTTCCAAGCAAGAATATTCGGATGATGTCATATATTCCTTCAGACAGGAGGTCAGTATGTTTTTCATGGATAAATTGTGAAAAGCTTTTACATGTTCCTGTATGGGAAATTGTTTTTCCAAAGCAGTTAAGCTATATCAGAGTTACTATCGAGTTCTTCCCTAGTTTTAGTTCATGATCGACTGGAAGTCAGTAGCTTTAATGAGGTCTAAGATGCAGGCATGGGGCAAATTATGATTTTTTTGGGTGATAAATGTCAATGAAAAGAAGAAACCAATAAAATATTATTTACAGAACTGTAGGCTTTCAATTGGTAAGAGAATAAAGAATAGAAGATTTTTCATCACCCTGACAGAGTTGTTCTCTGTCCTCTCCAATGGTGTGTTCGAATTTCGCATTTTGCCGTATGCTTGACCTACATTTAGGACTCTGGATAATCATCGATAAATGTAGTAAGGTACTTGTTGAATTTTAGTTACTCTCTCCGTTTCGATTTATTTGTTTTACTTCCCTTTTACTCTGTTTCAAAAAGAATGCCACTTTCTATATTTAGTAACTCTTTACACCCAATATTCTACCTGACATATTTAAGACCACAAGATTTTAAAGGCATTTGGTATATTATACACATATTTAGTTTAAGGCAACAAGAACCAGAAGTCTTCTTTATTCATGGTTCTATAGTTCTCATTTTTGTTTTGATTAATTTTCTCCTGGGTTCTTGCTTTCACTTTCTACTTAGGTGCTGACTATTATTGTACTAGAGGATTCCTGTTAATAAAAATGTTGTTATAATAAAGCACTCTATTAAGCAACATTTCATGTAATATATTTGCATAAATCATAATCATCTGAAGGGACTAACATGTCATTCTAGAAGAGTTTCCTGACAGATATAACATATCCTTTTTAGTTTATAACTCAAGTAGGACCATTGGGTTTCTATGATTATGCTTGGTCGACAAGCATTTCTAAGAGATTTTGCACTTGCTTTTCTGCAGGTGTCACTGATGAAACGCCTCCGACATCCAAATATTCTTCTTTTCATGGGTGCGGTAACTTCACCCCAACGCCTCTGTATTGTGACAGAGTTCTTGCCACGGTCAATTCTCAATTCTTAAAACAAATTGTTTATGCTCAGTTTTTATGGGATAATGTTTCTATATTACAAGGAGTTACAAACCATTTCGTTTTCTATTAATGCAGAGGAAGTTTGTTTAGGTTACTACAAAGAAATGCATCCAAACTAGAATGGAGACGACGTATTCACATGGCTTTAGATATTGTGAGTTCCTATGAAATCTGTAATACCTAAAACATCTCATATATATTATGTATGCATAATATCTTGGGATCCCATAGAATATGGCACTGTTTATTTGGTGCACGCCTGAATTATTTTTTTCCTAATTACCCACCTATACTTGACTATTTGATAGCCTTGACCCCCTGATTAATCTCACCTTATGCATAATATCTTGGGACCACATAGAATATGGTACTGTTTATTTGGTGCACACCGGAATTATTTTTTTCCTAATTACCCACCTATACTTGACTATTTGATAGCTTCGACTCCCTGACTAATCTCACCTTATGGAGGTGAGAGCCCACACGACATTTTTGTAAAATAGAATAGATCTTGTTACCTTTTTTAATTCATTAATTTTTGAAACATCTTTTTATGGTCAAGTTTGTAAAAAGCATGGGTGCAACTCCATTATTGAGAATTAAATACAACAACAACATACCCAGTAAACTTCCACACAAAGTGGGCTCTGGGAGGGTAGAGTGTATGCAGTCTGTACTACTACCTCTCCGAGGTAGAGATGTTCTTGAAAGATCCTCAGCTCAAGAAAATCAAAGCAGTTATAAAATGAAAAAAAAAACAGGTGGTTGGGAGAAACATGACAACGAATAGCAAAGCCATAGCAACTATATGCAAGGAATTGTAGCTACAACAACAAGCAGGTGCGATCACCTAAACACAGTAGATCAGAGATGATAACAGATACCAAAAGTAAATGCATGCACAAGCTAGTAATAGGACCACTCTTAACTACCTACTAACCTTCTACCATTATCGTGATCTCCATACTCTCCTATCTAAGGTCATTTCCTCGGTAATCTGAAGATGGACCATATCGTGTCTAATCACCTCCCCCAATACTTCTTCGGCCTATCTCTGCCTCTCCTCGTCCCCACTATATCAAACCTCTCCCACCTCCTCATTGGGGCACCCACACCTCTCCTCTTCACATGCCCAAACTATCTCAGTCTCCCTTCCCTCAACTTGTCCACCATGGAGGCCACTCCCATTTTGTCTCGGATATCCTCATTTCTAATTCTATCGTTCCCAGTATGCATGCACATATCCATCTCAACATTCTCATTTCTGCCACTTGCATCTTTTGAACATGAGAGTTTTTGACTGGCCAACACTCCACTCCATACAACAAAGCTGGTCTAAGCACCACTCTATAAAATTTACTTTTTTAAGTTTTGGTGGTACTTTCTTGTCACACAAGGGACCGGATGCAAGCCTCCACTTCATCCATGCCTCACCAATACAATGTGTGACATCATCATCGATCTCCCTATTTCCCTAAAACAGGGATCCAACTAAAAGCTTTCTTTGAGATATAAATACTAATTTTGGTAGAAATATGCATTGTACAAGAAGCAAAAAGAAAGTCACAATTGGAACAAATAAAATGTAGTATATGACTCTGGCAATTGACTGTTGGAAAATAACCCTCTTGGAAGCTGATTTTCTTATTTTCTTCATCCACTGGCCTAAAAGAGTGTATCCACATCCTTCGCCATCTTAGCTTCCAGGGGTGATAGTTGTCAAGTTCAGGGTGTTCATAAGGACAAAATAGTTCAGGTGTGCACCGAATAAAGGGTGCCAAGTTCAGGGGGGTCCCGAAGAATTATGTCTCTCATATCATCATGAGCAGCATCCATATTTCCTACTGGAAAAGCATTATTTCTACTTTTTCTTTTCATGATCTTCAGACATGTTTTCTGATTATGCTTTCTTTTCAATAATGTCGTATTTGTCTGGGATTTTGGCATTACCAAGTTAAATCATGTTATATAATTGTAATGTGTTTCTATTTCTTCAGGCTCGTGGCATGAACTATCTTCATCATTTCAACCCACCTATAGTTCATCGGGATCTGAAGTCTTCAAATCTTCTTGTGGACAAGAACTGGACCGTTAAGGTTAGACTATCATTTTTCCACTGAATATCCTTGACAACCCCTAAACCTTTGTCACTTGGAGGTTCTAGATGTATTGAGATTCTCACTATGCATTTACATATCTATAGGTTGGGGACTTTGGTCTGTCACGTCTTAAGCACGAGACATATCTAACAACAAAGAATGGGAAAGGAACGGTATTCAACTTGAACTGAGGACCTCTTTTTCTTAGCATATCAATATGAGTTACTTTAGTTGACCTGTATATTCAAACTTCAAGTGCCTGGCTGACTTTATGTCAAACTTCATTACTGTTGCAGCCACAATGGATGGCTCCAGAAGTTCTTCGCAATGAACCTTCAGATGAGAAGTACGCCCGCAATAAGAGTTTAAATCTTTTTAATGATATTGGTGAATTTCATGCAGATTTCCTGAATAATTAATGATATTGCTTCTTAAATACATGTTATATTCAGGGCTGATATATACAGTTTTGGTGTTATACTATGGGAACTTGCCACGGAAAAGATCCCTTGGGATAACCTCAACTCAATGCAGGTATTTTCATCTTCCTAAAATTCACGTGGATTACATACCAAAAGATAAAAAATCGAAAGGAAATGTATTTTATATAGTTGAGCATCTGAAAACAGTTATTGGATTCACACTTCAGGTGATTGGAGCTGTAGGATTCATGAATCAGCGGCTAGATATCCCCAAGAATGTTGATCCACAGTGGGTTTCTATTATTGAGAGCTGTTGGCATAGGTTTGTATCTTATTCTTTTTGCCATCATGATTTGTTTAATTAAAGCAAATAGTCTTTATTAAGAATATTGCCCTGTTTGTACTGGAGTTTGTGTCCTTGACAAGTTGTGTTGCCACGACATGTAAACCTATGGTATGTTTCATGACGGTTAGGGAAAATAAATTGGCCTCCAAATTTTTCCTCACTGACTAAATTTTTAACCACTTTGATTGCAAGATCAATTTATCTTTCTTCTCAATCTCTTTTGTTTGAACACAACTATGCACATATTTAACTAATATGTGATTTGTCCACCTCAGCGAGCCACAGCTACGCCCAACGTTCCTAGAGTTGGTAGATAAACTCAAGGATATGCTGAGGCAGTATGCCATTCAGGCTCAGGCAGCACGTAATGTTGCAGGAGATAGCAGCCAGAAGGAACTATAGATAAAGATGGTGTTTTGTGCTTGAAGCTTTTGTGGAGTAGCCAGAAGATACACTGATAACACACTGCCTTCAGTGACTGTTTGATTGGAAGTGTCACTCAGCGGTCACAAATTGCTTGTGTTGTCGGACCCAAAATTCGGTTAAAGTCGCCAAGCAGGCTGTTCACCGAGAGGAAACTTGATAGAGAAGATAACAGCTGTCATTTATCGGTGTCAAGGAAGAACATAAATCCTATAGGACATAGCGTATGTGAAATCATGACTTTCATGTATAGTTCATCCACTGTGTGAAACTGAACTCATCACAATGGCTCTTAGTGTTAAATCGTCACCTCAAGTTTGGGCTGTGCCTTGCAACTTTTAGTTTGTTTGTCGGCTGTGCCTTGCAACTTTTAGTTTGTTTGTCAAGGATTCCATAGATGGTCTATCAACTGAGGTTATATTTTATTGAGGCTTAGAAAGGGTCTGTAACACGTCATTTCTACTAATCTCCCAGACTTGTTTGTGCGCCTGTGTTCAACTTTTGCGTGCTTCCTAAACTCAGCTGGCTTAACTGTTCTTTTTTCATGTCTAGTTCACCTATTCTGTACTGTAATCCATTGGGACAAGTTATCTTCTTATTCATGAATATTTAAGGTATTTTTACCAATTACAATGAATAAATCAAACTAAATGAAAGGAAACATTCCACAAATTACAATCACTCCTGTGATTTGGTTACAATATTCTGTAACACTGAGTTGGAGCATACATACTGATTATGCTTAAATTGTCACAAATATAATTAATTCAAGTTTCATTCACAAAGGCGGAGTGCTGACAATATTCTAATTGGCTACCTGGACTTTGGCACCATAAAATGGCCGATGGAATTTTTAAAATATCTTCTTACATTTTTCATTCCATCAATCCTAGGACAATTTTCTCTCCTCTCCAACACTAAGGTATGTTCCTTCCATGTATTTCAAAGTATTCGTAATCACTAATTATGAATTACTGATAAGATTCTACACCACAATCCCACAGTTTTCAAGAAAATTCATCTCCAAGGTTCAAGACATGAGGGTTTCATCTTAGTCCAAATTTTAAAAAAAAAAATAAAGACATGAGGGTTTCATCCTAGTCCAAATTCATTCATGGAAGCCATTTGAAGTCATGGAAACGTGCTTGTGGGGAGGAACAATGATTCTTCCACACTTAGATTTAGCTTTACCTACCTTAATCACCACACACAACCACCATTTGAGCCACAACTATCACCACCTACCATCTACAACCACCATTCTCAGCCCAACCACAACTATCACTACTGCCAATCACCAAAATCAATCATCATCACCATTAGCCATCATTTGAAATTATCACCATCAAACACTATTACATCCACTAATCACTATCAATAATTACCATGATTAATAGCAACATTATATATTGCTAACCACTATTATCACTCACCATTTCCACTATCTACCAATATGTAGTGACACGCTGGGTTATTTTCTCTATTTTCTTGTATTTTCAACAATTGGAGCTTTTCTATAATTGCTCTAAGTCATCTATAATTTGCTGGGACTGATAGGATGGTCACCGGGTAGTTCATTTGGTCTTGACACATGCATTTTGTTTTTTGGAGTTTTTGAAGTTTGACTTCGGTCAAAACTTCAGTAATCGACCTTGGAATTCAATTCTGATGGCTCATTACCTTCGAAACAACAAATTTTATCTAGCTGGACCTTTGATTTGGATCCCGAGGCTTTCAAACTCATTTCGAGCTACCGTGGGAATTTGAGCTAAATTGGAGCTCAGATTGTGGGACCCAGGTTTCCATCGAGAGGACCTCTGTTGGAAGTTTTGACAGTTCCATTGTGTCCAAAATATCATTTTTGGTGGGGGTGGTGTCATGACCTTGACCCGTCGTGAGAGGCAGCTACACTAACCCTTCAGTGGGAGAACCAACTACTAACCCAAACCTAACCCACCAAACCATTTAAAACCAAGTCATGATTATTAAACGCTAGCAAAAATAGTTTCAAAACAACAAAAAGGTTGAGTTCCCATAAACTCAAAATTCAACAAATAAATGTGGAATAAACTCCCTAAAACCTGAAGTCAGAGTACCAAAACATCTAACGGTCTAGGATAGAGGATGCAACCCCAAAATAAAGAAAGAAAACACGAGTCTAGAGTGTTTGGGTCCGAATAATGGATCAAGAAGGAAAAGAGGAATCCGTAGCATTCCCGAGGAAGAGGCTCACCCTTGAAATTAGATAGCAGAGATCTCACAATTGAGGCCACGAAGCATCCGCCTACAGATGCACTATTCTCAACAAAGAAATAACAAGTGCAGTATCAGTACACAACCACAATGTAATGGTAGAATCATCGACTAGTTCTAGTATACGAAATATGAACAAGAAATCAAAACTCAGTAAACATATAATACACAATTATAACACAAGTATAATGATAAAGTCTCAACTATGTTCCATATTTCAGGGCGTAGGTGGTCGTATGCAAAATAATTACGCAACATATGAGGTCGAGGTCAAACCACAATGATTGGTATATGAGACTCTTCTTCTATTGAGTTCACCACTCAAACATGATAGATAATTTAGTTCTTAACAAACATATACATAAAATGGGTTTTTTTTTTATCTAACAACTAAAATTTATTTAGGATTAAGCAACAAATCAGGGAATCAACACAAATAAGATCTAAACAAGTTGGAAAAGACTAGGGGTGTGCACACATCAATAGGGGTTTGAACTTGAATAGGCGAAGATTAACCGGACAACATTAATTGATACATGGATAAAGTTTGTTCTAGGCTACAATCGATATTCTCCTCAACTATCAAGCATATGTCCCTTGGAATCTTTCGAACTCCAAAACCCTTTTAAATAAGAAACCAAACATTGCTTGGGTAGATAGACTATTCCAAGCTAATATCATTAAATGTGAATCCACTCGGATTATCCCATCCTTATCTCAAATCCATAGAGTAATTTCATCAAGTCCTTACTATTGAGTCTTACCCAACTCCATTAAGCTTTCTCAAGTTAAAATGGTGTTAGAGAGCTCAACCATTGTTGACATCCATTGAATTTAGATTTAAACTTTAAGACAACAATAGATCCATGCAATCCAATCAATATTAGAGCCGATTAATCAATACTCATTCGGGGTTTTACACCCCATCTAGCACACACACCCCTAGATAAGGGTCTAGCTACTCATAAATATTAAATAAAGACAATATTCATAAAGGAAATCTCCATTACAAGCTAGTTTGATAAGTAAAAAACTTGAATTGACACAAATATGAGGTTTCTTCCTTTACAAGCTAAAAAGTTCTTTGCTACTTTTCTCTCTAAAAATTCTATATCATAACCCAACACAACGTATGTCTATTACCCTAATTGGGAAGAAGATAATGGTACATAATTGCCCAAGTTCCTATTTTATCCTGTGAAACTTCCAAAAGAAGCACTATTTTTCAAAATTGTGTTTTGGCCTTCAGCTCCCGCCCTTCGGACTTGTGATGTACCAGCGAGACACCGATCAGAGAAAGTGGAGCCCCAATTACCTCCTCACTTCAACCTTTTGTTCTAATAGGAGTATCTATACTGGGATCGACAAATGCTGATTAGTTATTGTACCGCACCAATTGTGCGCTGGTACTGAGGCAACATTGCTCCGTCCAATCCGCCATTTAGCCAGCGAGACGCCTGTTGGCTTATGCGAGATGTCGGTTCCATCGCTGGTGCGTTTTAGTTCTTTTTGGATTTAAATCCATCAAACTTATTTTTTCCAAGGAATGGATGCATTCAACAAAACTAGGGCAAACCCTTTCAATTAGCATTAAAACATGACAATAATTCATGAATTTGAGTCAGTAAAATACCAACTCATCAAATCCCCAAACTTGAACTATTGCTTGTTCTCGAGCAAAACACTCACTTAGAATAGGACCAAAGCTTAGTCACACCTAAGATGGGATTTTCATATTTACATACTTAACTTCTAACAATTGGTAAAACAAAACCAAAATCAAATAAATAAAACACTCAAAACAAGCATCACTCTCTATTGATTCCAACATCATTCGCTAGGCAAATATTTTAGCAAAACATTTTTAGCACAATTTTTGGACAATCATTCTTTTAAGCACAATCTTAAAGCATCTCAAATCAATGGGATCAACCTTCTTTCTTTGCCTAAAGATTCACATGGATATGTCATATTCATGCAATACAGTTGAAATCAAGACATCAAAATTCATATGAAGGATGGAATGCCACTCACATAAAAGAGAATCCCACACACATTTAAGAATAACAATTTAAGGGATTATAGATCATACTAGAACACTCACTCTCACAAATTAATTCAAGTATATACACATTGAACCATAGACTTGTCATGTATGTAGATTGCCACTAATATAGATCGACAAGGTTCAAAATCCCCAAGGACTTTTGGGTTTGACTTAGGCTTGGGCAAATGGTAGGATACCATTTGATCAAGTGAATGCTTCGTTACTGCTTTAATTTCATTAGAACTTTCTGCTCTCATTTTTGACTTTTGTTTTCTACCTTATTTCTCCCTTATTTCAACATTCACTTGTTTGAGCTTCCATTTTTTTCCACCTTGAGGTATCTGCATTTTTCACCACCCAAGGGTACCCACAAGACGTAAAATGCACATACAACCCCGAAAAGCACCATGTAAGCCACTTAGCATATCATAACATAAAACATTAGAACAATAAGAGTAAAAATGCATTTCAAGTCCAAAAATTTTTTATGAAGGAAAGTGGAAGTCTAGATTTATCTCAATATAGCCATCTATTACAATAGTTCAAATGAAAAGGGACACAACCCATACAACATAGTCCAAAAATGAAATACTAGAAATGAAACTACAAGTGACATATCTGTCCTCGAATCATGAGGAATCACCACAAACTAGGAGAATAGTCGAATTCAAGCTTGAACCAAATGATGACCGCCTTAAGAACCGGACCCTACACTTGAGAAAAATATAGGAAAATATGGGTTAGTACAAAAATGCACTAAATATGATAGCCATGCATAAAAACCTTGAAAATATGCTAAAA